TTGTTTGTTTGTTCTTAAGTGCTGCATGTTTTTTCCTAGTACTTGAAAAGCTTTTGGTTTGTCTCTGTTGCCTTAGTTTGGTGTTTCTGCTGCATCAGAGTTTGATTTCATTTAGACTGGAGGCTAATTTAACATTCTGGTCTGATGCTTTTGCTTTATTATATTTTTTTTTTTTCCGACCATCCTCCAATGAAAATGTGTTTAAGAGCACAGTGCTTGTGTTTAGCAGCTTTGAACTGCCTAATCTTCAGATGACTGCGTAAAAAACAATTAATAAAACTGCTTTATGATGGGATTAGAATGGGCGCAAACTCCTCCTGAGACCTTGCTCCTTAATAAGAGGCAATAATTTTGTTTGCTAAAACAGATAAGCTAGAAAACATTTCCCAGAGGCCCTACAAATCTTCCATTGTTTAAGACCTCCCTGTTGGTGGGCTACTGTTATCTGTGTGAAGCTGACAGCACCCAGTGTCCTATCAAGTGTAGAATATCAGTGAAGTGGAAATGCCAGCTTCAGTTTTCTAATGCAGCCTGGCATTTCTGCATGGTGACTGTCCATCATGAAGTAATAGGGAACATCAGGGTTTGCTCAGCAAGCAAGATTTCTGTTAACTAATGTATGTATAAATGTTTCCCTTGCTTTAAAGGCTGTTGCTGGGGTCAAAGAATAGAGGCAAAGGTGGCTGAGAGCATTAAGGACAGCAGGTTATTGACAGCATTACCATGGCCTGAGAGAGTGGCTTAATGACAGACACATGCCATGCACTAGCACACACGCAGACAGAGGTACTGTGCATTTTTTAAGCTGTGAAATGTTCAGGTTTCAATAATTTGTATATTTGCTTATGTATGTTAGATGTGTCTCTAATTATCTGTTCTCATAGCAGAATAAAACCAGCTACTTGAGGATAATGACTGAAGAGAACAGACAGCAGAAAAGCAGTTGCTGTGCTGTGCTGTGCTAAGGCAGTCATTGAAGCAGAGTGAACACAGGAATTCCAGCTGCAAATAGGGACAGCAGAACAAACTCCTGCCACTGCCCACTCCCAATATAAAACGTGATTAAGTGTGAACAAGACAGCAAGAGTTTGTAATTCCCACAAGGTGAATCCTTTAGTCCTGTCAAAATATTGCCTCTATTAAAACCTGCAGGATTAGATTCTAGACCCAAATGAATTAAAAGCAAGCAGTATGCCAACAGCATGTAGTCAAGGCTTAATGACCTTCCTGGAAAGATCCAGAGGAAGTGTGTTCTTAAATTTGTCGCTTACACTGAAACAGGCAAACCAGGACTGATCTAAATGATGGGTTTTTTTAGTAGTTTGCCTCCTGTTCATAGAGGTCTCCACCTCCAATTGTACTTAATCATGCAGGATTCGGTTACCTTCAGGTTGCTTTGGTGTTCTAATATGCATGTTCCACATTTAATAAGAGTCACCAGGGGTGATCTCAGCCTATTATCTACACGCAGGAAAACAAAATTAATTGGTCATTTGATGTTTTTCCTCTCTGCCCTGTCCCCTGAGTCCACAGAAATGTATGAGGACTCGCTCCCTGTTTCACCAGCAGTTTGAACTTGTAGTGACATCTTGCTTTAAAGTCAGTCATATGCTGACAGAGACTTACAATTATCAGCCTTGCTGGAGATACAAAAATAATGTCCTCAACGTCAAAAGATGTTTTTTAAAAATGATAATTAATGTCTTCATAGGTAGATTGTTTCATAATTTAACATAATTTGTATTATTTTTCTGTACATAAACAAGACGAGGCACTGTGACCAGAAGGACCTCTGCCATTTCCAATTAGGTAAGGCATCAGTATCAATTCTAAATTAGCGGATTAGGCTAAGCAAAGTGATTAAATGAAAGTTGTCATTTATGATGGTAAAAAAAGCACATTTCTATTTTATTTTTTTAACTCTTTGCTTCATACAGTAATACCCAACAACACACTATGGTTACATACCCTTCCCATGATTGCATTTCATAAATGAGGATTTATTTTCAGCCGAGTTACACATGGCTGCATCCACGTCATATGAATGACAGGTTGGGTGGTAGTTCCGAGCTGTCACTCGAAATAAGAACTGTTTTGAAACTACATGCATTGCAAGGGAAATAGGTTTTATTTATTTTCCCACTATCAAGATATTAGAATGCAAAGAAGATTAATAAGTGTGCTAATTTAGACTATGCTTGTCAAACTAAGGCAATGGCAAAATGAACTAATGAAATACTGGATACTCCTTCCTATTTCAGGGTAGTATAGGGAATTCTTAAATCACTGAAATGAGGCACGGGCTCAAGAAACTTTAAGCACTACAGAGACAATTCCCTTATTTCAGCTGTGGTTACCTGCATCAGAAAGTCACCCAGGCTAGAAAGTAACAGTTATGCACACAGCTTGCTCCTCTCTGACATTCACATCTTCCTCCTTTTGAAAACTTGCAAGGCGAGAACCCAAATAAATGTTTTGCATCTTTCAAATATAAAACTTGGGGAATATTCTTCTTCATCCTGTGAAGTTAATGACATTTTTTTATCAAGGCTTTATAAGAATATATCTGGGTTTTTGTACTTTACCATCTAGTTCAGGAGACAATAATACAAAGCACCCAGTGATTACCTGTCCTCACAAGAAGTGGGACAGAAACCACGGTAAGAGCCTGCATAAGGTGTGTAGCTACACAGCACAGTTATTAGCTCCCAAAATCCTATACAGGACAAGGAGCCATTTAATAAAAATCACTAGTCCAACTTATTATCTTATAAAATTCCAAACTGAAGACAATCTAATGTTTTTACAGATGAACATACCAAGATATTCTTACAAATCACTACATAAAGGAAGAATTTGGGACATCTTGAGAAATCTTTGTTTTTTTGTTAATAGAACTTCAGCTTTGTACTTAAGTGAAAGTTTCATAACAAAATGCCACAGAATTTATGGTGCAACAGCACTTGATAACAAGTGAAAAAATTATTAAAAATAACAATGATGTTTATATATAAACATTTCTTTTGTATATTAGTACACTGTAACTCAAAAAAAAAAAAATTAGAACACTATATACCAGTACTATTAGCATTTTCATATTTGTGGAAGGACCTTCTACTGAAGCTATGCTTCCATTTCCCAAGCTGCATATATTTAGTTAAAATTATAGTCTTTAATAAACAGGCACAGTAAAAAACCCTGACCACCTGTTGGAACAGTTCCTCTGTTCAGCTTTACAATATTGCTCAAGAGCAAAGAGAGCATTCCATGCTCAGATTATCTCAGGTTCCTCCACTGAGCAACTTCAGCTGTACAGTTCTTCAGGTGTAAACTGACTTAAGATTTAAGTCATAGAGAGGCTATTCTTCCCTCTGCAAAAACCTAAACTAGCATCAGCTCAGTCTTGAAATTGTTAATTAGCTGTGATTACTAAATAGCTCCTGGCCATATAAACCCAAACTTTAAAAGTAGTCAGTGGCTTAAAAGAGATCTAAGCACACTGATTTTAAAAACCAGTAACTGAACTAATGGGTGCTTAACTGCCAAAGAAACTGCCACTGGGGTAGTTAGGTGCCTACCTGTTTCAAAGTAATCTAGTCTTAGATTTGAGTTCTCATTTCACAGATGATCCCTTGAAAATAACACTGAAAATGTTCCCCAAAGCAAAACCAGGCAGAGGATAAAAGCAAAATAATTTCCTTTCTTTCTGACTCCAACGTAACTTCTGCTCAGGTTACTGTCACAGGACAGTAGGGCACATTTGGTCCTGCCCCTCTGCAGGTGCAGCTGTTCCACTGGTGCAAGGAAATGCCACAGAAGTAATTTTAGAATCTCAGTAGTCCCACAAATAAAGCTTGAAGGAGCCTCCTAGATAAACTGTTGTGATTAAAATCTAATGAAACTAACTCTTCAGCACAGCATTTCATCCCTCTCACCATATTTAAATATCTGTAATATCCTCCAGGGAACAATGTTGTGTGTGAGTAAACATAAAAGCAGATAGAATGTATTACTTTTTCAGCCAGTATTGTTTGTGCTCTTCCCTCTTCAGGTGCTGAAGCTGCACTATTTCTGTCTAGACAACCTATGGCATGGATTATAATGTGTTCAACTAAATAATTAACAAAAAAAACAGGTATGTATTAATTACATTAAGAACTTTTTATTTATGTAAAAGTAAACAATTCAGGTGCATTTGCAAAAAAAAAAGTGGATTGCAGCATAAATTTCTTTTTATATTGTTTATGTAAAAAGACTTATCCTAGTGAATAAAATATACTTTTTAGGGATTTCAACATTCAATACTATATAACATTACAGTAAGGCACTCTTAAATTGCTTTTTGGCAATCAAAGCTCTCTCCTTGTCTAGGAATCAATAAAATGACTTCTGATAACAGTATTCTGCACAGAATATTCCCCCATGCAATTATTCCTACTTCTGAAGCTATAACAAGAATATATGCTAATTTAATGGTAGTTAAATTTCAAAAGGGAAATAGTTGTTCCATGTTCAGTTTCTGTCAGTGGTGTGTATATTAGCTTCGTTTATAGACTTTCCATTATACAGAAACTAGGCTATAACAGAAACCCAAGCTGCAACTCCAATGTCTGCTCTCCTATTGCTGCTGGCTCTGAAGAGTTAATAAAACATAACACATAGGAAATGGGAGAATATCTGACCTCTAGGTTAACAAGATCTGATCCAAAGCTTACTAAGTCAGTGTGATCTGTCCATTTCAGAGTTTTTGATATTTGTTTTTATAGAGTTAAAAAATGCCTCATTTATATTGACTAGAGTGTAACAGAAATTACTAGATTTACTGATTTAAAAAAAAACTTCTCAAATATGAAACTATTAAAATAGACAAGTAAAGGGGTTATCTAGAAACTACAAAAATCTTATTCTTTGATACATTCTCTAACAAGAAGTTCTTAACTAGGAGCAATGTAAAAATTGTCAAAACAGTTCTTTTCAATTTTATGTTACCATATTAATTTTGCTATTCTTCCACATTCCTCAAAGATCTCATTTTCAAAAAGAGGAACACGTCAACAACTTTCTTGCTTGTCAGGATGATAACAAATGGAGAGCTGTTCTGGGCCATGGTGCACAAACAGAAATCTTACCTTCAGCTTGGGGAAACTTTCTGAAACTATTTCTGTTTGTTTAACATGGAAAAAAGAAATCATATCATTTACCATAGCCTAACTTTGCTTAGCAAGCATTTCTAGCAGCTCTTTCTCTATGCCTTGGCTGCCCAGATCATTTAAACTGTAGTATCTATGAACAATCTTCTCATCTGTGACAACGACCACTCGAAGCCCATGTGCATCTTCTCCCAGCTGACATCCTATTGCTGATGAAACCACCATTTCCAGTCCTCTGTATGACCCTCCAGCATTCCTATGGTAGTGTCCAGAAAACACAGCTTTAACACCTGTATAAAAAGAGAGAGAGTATGTATTTAGTCAGCAGTTGCAGTTTGTGTATAAAGAGTAAATAATACAGCTGAAGTTACTTGCTGAGGCTTACACAGCTGGTGGGGTTGTAGAGAAATTTCTACAGCAAGTACAGCTACAGGTGTCCACATTTCCCTTTATTCTTGAGTGGTTCATAAAGTGTAAAATGAAAAGTAAACCATTTACCTGAACTTTCACTGTAAACAAAAAACTAGTAAGCAGCAATAAGTAATTCTAATAGTAATAAATATTTAGTAAAATCCTTATTCTACTGCACTAGCTCTGTTTAGGGTTATTGGACTCCTACTTCTTTATGCTTACTGCCAGGTGTGTTTGTCACCTTGCTACTGCTTTGGCTAGAGAGAAGGAACGTTCTAGAGGAAGATGATTATATTTAGAAAAAAAATCCATTAATATACAGCTGCCTGAAGAATGATGCTTCTAAAACATAAGTTTAAAAGCCAAGGATTGGTGGAGCTGTATTTCTCAATTAATATGCAGAAAGTTCACCAAGGAGATATTAAACCTGTCTACCCAAGGCTGGTGACCTTAAAAACAAACAAACAAACAAACAAAAAGACAAGACTAACAAATAAAAACCATAAATGAGAAGATAATTTGTAATCTTTTCTCAAAGACATTGGGGAGTTATCACAGACAGAATAGAGCCAGGTACATAAAAGAAAAGTAATAAACACAGGAGAATGCGAGCTATAATAAGAGGAGAAGAAAGATAAAGAGCAGCCAAAAAAGGAAAGGCTGACAACCTGCAGGAGGAGTCAGGCTTGGCAATGACATGAATTAACATTTACCTAGTATGGTGTACAAACAAGGCAGGTGTACTCTGATTTCCCCTGTATTTTTAATGACTTAAGGCTGTTCTGTTTCTCTTTTGAAAAACAGACTGTTTATATTTTGGACTGTATTGGAGTAAAAAAAATCAATCCACTATAAACTTGAACAGAAAGACATTTAATCTGTTGCAGGAAACAACAATAGGGTATACTGAAAATTTCTGGGTAAGTTGCATGCAAGTATCATGCAGACTTGGTCAGGAGTAGAAGAAAAGCTAAATGACAAGCAGCAGCAGTGAAAGAGAACAAGTATACTCCATATTTAAGGCTCTGTAATGTACTGTGAAATCCTTGGCTGAATCTTCGTCTAACTGATTAGCCAAACGAATGTTTAAAGACGTCCAATCTTTCTTTGCCTTCTCTTGGAATACAGTAATTTCACAAAAAAATAATTAAATTGGCAAATGCTATCTGATTTTGACCAGCTTCTAAAGATGATCCATATGCTGGGTCCACTTTCCTGCCATGCTCCTCAGTAGCTATGGGATTTTTGCAGAAATTTTGAAGCAATTTTCAATTTAAATGAAATTGTGTCATCCTCACCCCTAATCCAGTAATTTCTACCTTCTGCTTCTGCCTTGCAAACATAAACAAATAAACTGGTAGAAGTTGTATTCACTATTCTGAATGGCCTTTCTGATTGTCTTCACAGGTCAAATTCATGCTACCAAATAGCCTGTTTTGCCCTCCCCATCTGATGTTTTATAAATTTCAATCAAAGGTTTTTATTACTACAAAATAATGAAACCTTGTTTAGCCTTATGAGTCAAAAAAGTAATTTTGATGCTAAGTAGTTATCCTCCCTGTCAAAATTTATACACCCATTAAAAACAGAACTGAGAACCTAGCTTCTTCCTAAGAGAAGATGCTATCATGCACAAGCATTTCACCTCCAGGTTCTGCCAGCATCTTTCAATGTTTAGCTATTCTATGCATTGTTGATAGATACAGCTGAGCATTGGAGTCAACACTATTTGTAGTTTGGCAAAAAATTATTCATCAGCTTTCTTGCTAATTTAAGATGATGCATGTTTTATTTTGAATGAAAATGCAGAGTTAGTATAAATAGCTAATTTTACAAAGAGGTTTTGGGATTAATTTTTGGCAAGTATAAGATCCTTGGCTTTCAGACTATTACAGATTCCTGAAGCTGCCTCTAATGCTATTTTATACTGTTGTAAAACAGAAAAATTACTGGACCAGATGGCTTAAAATACTGGGAATTTTTTTGTATATCCTCAAGTTCAAAACATATAAATTAATTTTATATTTTATTACAGAAAGTGTTGATTAACAGTAGTATTAATGACAATCTCAAAATTTTCAAGTGTGCCTGAAGGATTTAGGTATCATTTCTCTGTTGAATTACAATAGGTTGTGTGCTGCTTAGTCATAATGACGCTTTGATATTTCTACATAAAGAAACTGAAAATACATTAATACTGAGTGACTCAAAAAAGCACACTAAATACTCCCTGACAACTATGACTAGATAGCCAGCAGGTTATCAAAATAACTGACTACTTTATGAAACTGAATCTTTCCTATTAGTTTCCTATGTTGGCTAAAAACCTGCTGTGCTATAATGGAAAAATATTTCATTGGCACAGTTCTGTAGATGCTGTACCTTGCTGAAGATAATTTGTGTTTATACTGAAAAATAAACTAACAAGCAAAAGTCTAAACTTGTGCCCATTCCTGAGGAGTGCAGCAGAGAAGAGTGAAGCTTAGCAACACTGGGGACAAGTGCCAGCAGCTCCTGTTGGCACTCCTGTCCTCCTGCTCACCACCCCAAGCTATCCTTACCTATGCAGCACTGGCAATCACCTTTCTAACCATTGTTTTAATCATTACAGAAAAATCAGCAAGCCTATAAAGGGATGGACACTGTGATGACAACACCCAACTTCATTTGTTGTTTTTCCTATATTTCAGCAATCTGCCATTCCATTCTCAACACAAAAGGTAACACATGCTTCGTCTTGTTCAAGTGGTAGGCCAGAGACTAGGTAAGTTGTGAGATACTAAAACCTTAAATGACATTTAAAAAAAAGCCTTTCCCCTGCAGTAGAGTTAGACATCTTTCCCAGTGCTTAAATGAAAAAGGAAGTAGGTGAACCTGTCTTGAGATAGCTGGCTACATCAATCCTTTGCTTTTGTGGGAGTGAGTGTTTTGAAGACTGATACAAAATATATAAACTAGGCTCAAAGTACATTTAAAAATTAAGCAGTGTGGAAAGCAAAATATAAATTATTCTGCTATGTGCCTGGTAAAAGCTACATGTGCTTTCATATTTCAAATCTAACCCCTTCTCAAACAGCAAATGACTCAAGGTGGAAAACAGAGAATGAAGTTCCCTTTCCATTGAGTGGTGGTATATGGGCATGGCCAGCTGAACTCCTCTGTTTCCCTGTTTTGGTTATCAGTACTAACTCTCTTTGCTCAGGGTAACCTGCTCATCTCTCTGGCATAGCAGTTACTGTTCTAAGCCAGAATAATTTGGAGAGTTTCCTCTGGCTCAGCTGCAGGAACCGAGCAAAACAGGGGTGGAGGGGCTTTTTAATTTTTCGTTTTCTTTTCTGTTGTTGTTTTTGTTTTTTATTTTTAAAATCTTGAGAGAAACCCAGTCAGAATACCTCAAAAGGCAATGTTGGAATATAAAAGCCCTGTGACATAACAGGCTCTTTGCAGAGTCTAGTTTCCAGATATCATTTGATGCTACAGTCAGTTTGAGAGCGAGCAGTTATTCCTCAGCTCCAACCATGCTGCAGCTTACTACAGTGACAAACATAACATAAATTTAAGCATTTCAACAGCAGAACTGTTTCTTTCCTTCTCATTATATGCACACATATCCAAACCATGAGGTTGCACTTGTCTCCTCCACTCCCTCAACCTTTCTGCAGTGACAGAACTTGCCCATCTAGAGCCATTTCTGGTGTGGCTGGACATTCTCTTGTCTTGCTTCCTAATGCAGAGAGCAAACCAGAACATTACGGGAACTGTACGTTTGGCATCCGACTCGTTCAAGTGGGACCCATCTTGCCTTGTGGCACCGTCCTTAAAAGAGCAAGCCCTGATGGGCTACGAGAGGATGCTGAGTAGGTGCAATATGCAATAAGCAGCCTCTGAATTAAGGCATTTGTGGGCAGGACAGAAGACACACTCAGCTTCGTGTTACCAATTTACCACATACATAGCACTTTCCTGTCCTTCAAGCACTTCAAAAATAACCAATGGTCTCCAGCAACATTCTAGATTCCACTCTCAGACACACATCTAGCATGGGCCTGACTTTATCTTGGTCTTTGCCTGCAGAGTTATCAGCAGCCAAATGAAGGATCAAGGACTGAACATTTAGGAACCTAATCCAAGTTCCTCCCACTGAAATGAGTAGAAAAACAATGGCAGGTTTCACTTGTGTCTTTGGTTGTATCACTAAAAGTTGTTAGCAGAATCTGCTAGTGAGTTTTTAACTCTCTGCAAACAGCACAGCTTTGGAGGGGAAACACTTCTCCCCTCTATTATTTTGCTTTTAGCACATGTGTAATAACAGGCCATATAATTAGCTGAACATGTGACCTGCTTGATTATTGCACCAGCTAGTTCTGTGAAATACCCTTACCAGCTTCCAGTAAGGGATAATCCTACTACACTAACACGTTCTTTCCAATGTTTTCTACTTTTTCTGCAGGTAAGCAAAAGTACTTCAGTCTATGAAAAAGTTTGCAAAAAGTAACAAGCGTAAAACCATAGCGAGGTGTAAACCCATGTGGTACAGTTTTAGTCATGGAAATAAGTCATCACTTTTTACTGGAAGCGTCTGTGCTCCAAAAGCAGCATCTACCCACCACCCAGAGAATGTAACCTTTGGAATTAAAGGTGGAACAGAAGTTAAGATTCTGTCTGATCCTGTGTAAACCCAACCCTGACACAGTTTCAGTGTAATTAAAAGGACGGAACATACAAAAGTAATAAAGGAACTTTAAATATGCTATAAGAAAGACAAAATCTCACCTTGTCTGAGAATTCAAACAAAGATTTTTGAGAAACCCATCCTAGACAGCAGACAGACACTAGGTAAAAAGTTTGGTCCACCAATCATGCAGAACAAATACTGCAA